ACGAGAAGCCGGCGTGCTCCGTCCGGGCTTTGTAGGGATGCAAGGTCAATAGTCTAACGACGACGGCATGCACGCCAATGATTTCACCCCCCCCCCCCCCCTCTCGTACATCGTGGCACCAGGCGCACCCCGGCGAGTGCGCTCTTATGGTTTGCGTAGAGCTCAGTTCGCTGCACGCGAATTTCCAAGATAACACCGCAAACGCCGTGAGCATGGCGCTTTTCGCGGACGGGTGCGCGGCCACCGTCCTGAAGGGGGCTAGAAAGGCTGAGTGCCCGAAGGTGAGAGACAGCGAGATATTGGAGCGCTCCGGGATTATCGTGAAAAGAATGCCACCGTTATGTAGGTGGCACCCACTACTTCTCGTGTTCTTTTCATGGGGGTTCGCAATGGTTCGGTGTCGTTCCGCATGCTACAATCTCGTTCTCTTTGTGGGTCATCCAAAGTTGATGACGTGTACAAGAGTCCAGCCATTTTCTGTCGAAATTGAAAGCCCCCCCCCCCCGCCATGTTTCCCCCCTCGAACAAGGGATGCGTGGTCCTTAGTGTCGCAAGTCTCCTGCCTGTACGCTCCTGCGTGCTGCTCTATCTACATGTGTCGACTGCAGTCGTAGTCCCTCTATAAGGCGCGTTGGACAAGGCGGGTGCCCGCTGTAAGGGCGGGTGAATTGGCTGGCACAGATAGAATATTTAGGTCGTTTAATGCATTGAAAGGGCGGGTGCCCTGTATTGGGCCGGTGAACCGGTCTGGCGCATACCCGCCTTATAGAGGACTGTAATCGGTGTGATTAGTGTAATTAAGGTGCCTGGGTTCGTCCCATGTATTGTATTCTGGCGCCGGTCTACACACCTTTCGATGTACACTTTTGATGTAACAGCCGGGGTCGCACAGTACACAGTCACACAGGAGCTTATTTTTGTGTTGCAAAAAGCCATTAAGTATTGGTCAAGATAAAAAACAACCTACAGAACGGTATTTGCGTAGACACGAAGTTACCGCATTTCACGTTGTGTAGGCATGTTTTTTTTTCTTCGGTATTTACGTAGGTCTTATTGTTTTTTTTTTGTTCGTCGTGCTGCAGGGAAGCCTCGTCGTCGCGGACAGCCATTCGTGGCTCATCGAGGACAGCGAGGACGGTATCACCGTCGACATCGAGCCCAACTCGATCGTGTGCGTCCTCTCCAAGCTCGTTCCTAAGATCATCGCGAATAGCGTGGGGCCATTCGTGGACGGGTTCTTGGGCAGGAACAGCATGAAGCGGAAGGACGGTGAGCTTGTAGCGAAAGGGCTACCATTGCTGTCGCTTGCGCACTCAATAAATCAAGTGCCGTAGCACGGCCCACGATCTAATCACGGCAAGATAACCGTGCTCCCCACAAGGGGCGGCTTGGTGATACCTTGGCGTGTTTGGCCGTGGGCAGCGTTCGTCATCGGTGCGTGGTTGTCGATTTGAAGCGAAGTCTTCGGGTCCATTTAATTGTTTTTTTTAGGGTAAGTTAGCCTGTGACCACGGGGGGAATCGACCGGTCAAACGTTTGACTACAGTAGTACGGACAGATGAAGGTACAGGGTAGAGAGATCGAAACAACTTTTTAATGTGAAGACAACAACAACGAAGGAACTTGGTCCAGGGCTTTCCCGGAAGGAATCGTGTACATTTTTTGGATCGTTCGGCGTTAGTAGCCCCCGCCATCAGGATGAAGAGCCGTGTACACCTGCCTACTCAGCGATGCGGTCGTTCTCTTTGGCGGGAATGTGCTAGGTCGGGTCACCCCCTTCACCTGCAGAGGCCACCGACGTTCGTAGATCGATTGCTCCGCAAACGAGAGGGCAGCCACCACCTGCCGAAAAGGGTGGATTTGGAAAATATGTCGTGGAGAGCTTTTTGTTGTCCCTAACGGCCGGTCTTGGGTAACACCCTATTGGTTGTGGGGCAATCGGGCTTTTCGGGCGGTGGTTTGGCGACGGTGCGATCATCCGCACAGTAGTCTAAAACAGAGTCGAAGCAACGACTGCTTTTCCGGATTGCTTCGCATGTGACGCTTGCATTGTGTGCATTCCGGTCCCATCGTCTTCATTCGTCCCCCCTCGCGTCGTTGGACGTACTTGAAATAGATCGCAGCACCCTAATTTTTCTTTTGTTTTTACGATGAGTTTATTGTCGGCGTTTTTTCACCGTTTGCGTGCCCCCCTCTGCTTTCACCCGGTGTATACATGCGGCGGAATAGTTGACTTTTGGGTTGTACACCCCGGAGGGAGCGCGATCATCACGGAGGTGCAGAATGGGCTCGGGCTGACGGAGGAGCACACGGCGGACTCTTGGGCGGTGCTGGGGGAGTACGGGAACATGCTCTCGCCCACCAGCATGTTTGTGCTGTCGAGGTAACGTGTAAACGGCGAGAAAGAGAGGGATGGAGTGGCGGAGAGAGAGCGATAGACAGACAGATAGACAAGGCAGAAGGAGAGAGAGCGAGACAGACGGACAGGCAGAGATAGAGAGATGGTGAGAGGCACACACACACAGAGGCACAGAGAGAGAGAGAGAGAGAGAGAAAGAACGGTAGACTGAACCTCGGAGTGAGGGTTTCGTACGTGCCTCTTGGGAGGTGGTTTTACGAACGCTTGTGTACATGGTGGAGCGTTTTCCAATAGGCGAAGGGGGGGGGCTGTTGGGGGCTTCAATCAAGCGCGCCAACGCCCTGTTTTGGTTTTTTGCCACAGCTTGCCTTTTTGCTTTTTACGCTTTTTTCTTCCCTGTTCACTGGGTGCTCGTTTCCCCGTGGATAAATGAGGAAGTGGGGACGGGCGACGGACCACATCGCTTTTTGAGTCGATTCAACCAAAAAACCAAGGCCTAGCCAACACAGGAGAAGGGTCAGGACTAATTCCGAAACAAGCTCTGATTGGCAAGGGAGGTTGGCACGGAGTTTGTGACCTTCCTCCGCTATGCTCCAATGGCAGCAAGCTCAGAACATATCTCTGCCCTCCGCATCAGGCCATGTAACATGATCAGGTTGGCTATCGTAAGAATGTTGCACAGAAACGACGATGATGTCAGCGGAATGTGCAAGCGCCCTTGCGAATGTTTCTCGGGGGCAATGGCCAAGAGTCTTGCATCAGAAGCGCGGTTTCATACCGGTGTTATCGGTATCGCTCATCGCACCCCACGGTACGACGATACCGCGGATGATGCCGTTTCGGAAATCGATTGAATAATGCCGTTTGCTTTGACTGCGATGAGTGCGAAGACTCTGGTGAGTTCGTCCACTCGCGGCTGGTGCGCCAAACACGTGTGTCCAGGAAGGTGCAGACACATGTGCCCAGACGGGATGAAACACTTGAACAAACACGTACAGGTTGACAATCGAGAGCACGAAGAAGGTGTTGAGATGACTTTACTTCGGCAGCGTTCTGATTTTTTCTTCCCTTCTTTTATCTTGTTCTGTTTGTTTGTTTTTTCGTATTTTTTATTTTTTCTCTGCAGGGTCTTCCAACGCCACAAGGCCATTGTCGCCGAGGGGAAGGCAGGGTATCAAACGGGGATGGCCATAGCCTTCTCGCCAGGGGTGGGGGCAGAGGGTGTTCTCTTCAAACAGATCTAGTGCGCCAGAACCGGCCGGGGGGGGGGGGGGGGGGGGGGGGGGGGAGCCTGGCATGGAAATTGGGGGGGGGGGAACGGGGGGGGGGGGGGAACGGGGGGGGGGGGGGATTTTTGGGCAAATCTTTGGGCCGGGGGGGGGGGGGGGGGCTTCCGGGCCCCCCCCAACGGGGGGAACCCCGGGGTTTGGGGGGGGGGAAATTTTTGGGAACCCCCCAAAAAAAAAACCCCAAAAAAAAAAACCGAAGGAAATTTCGGCAAGGGGGGGCCCCCTTTAAAAGAAAGGGACCCCACGGGGGGGGGGGCACCCCTGAAACCCTCAGCCCCTCAAGCCTGGAAAAGGGGCCCCTACTGTTGCCAAA